GGTAAATAACCCTGTTTTCAACTTTTCCGGCATCCAGTGTGTCTCAGTAGTAGGTTTTTGAAGTTTCTGTCTTCATGAAGGAGAACAAGGGAAATGAAATTCAGGGAAAAGAGCCACTGCATCAAAGAAACAAGGTGTGGACGTGTGTTGAATAGTCCAGCTCAGTGTTTTTCAAATTTGGCAACTTCAAGATGGGTGGACTTCAACTCTCAGAATGCTAGCTGAAGAATTCTGAGAGTTGAAGTCCACCCCTCTTAAAGCTGCCAAGTTTGAAGAACACTGGTCCAGCTTTTCCCAACACTCCTGCCCTTCTTTTCACCCACATTTCTAAGGCAAGACCTTAGAATATACCCTCTCTCTTGTTTTGGCTGCATTCACATGAAACTTTTCACCCAGTTACTGAGTTAACCCATCTTTCAGGATGTATACAATATATGGAGCTAAATGAATAGTCTGGGTTCATGCAACACATTCAGCTGTAAAGAAGAAGAAAACTATGAGTTTAGCCCTTTGTGTCAGTGCAGCCATTAAGCTTTTAATAGAGACATTTAAGGGTCTTTCCCCACAGCTGAGTTGAAGGGTTGTCCCCTCCTGGAGTTGGCAGAAAACTAGCTTCACCATCCGTGCTGTCGGTCAATGGCCTCTCTTCCCTGGCACTGCCCAGTCAGCCCCCTAAATTCCCTCAAGGCCATCCTTGGAGGGTGGTGGAAGAAGGGGCACGAGGCCACCTGAGGATCTAGGCCTGCCTCATTTCTGGGCTGGGGACCAGATGCAGCCAAGGGCCCAGGGCAATAAACAGAGGCTGCCCGGGCCAGTGGGGAAAGGCGTCCTCCCTCCCTCCCTCCCTCCGCCTATGAGAGTGCAGTGGAACATCACCACCACAGCTGAGGACAAGTTCTTACTCCTGGGCACAGGGAGAAGAGCACCGTCTTCCTCTCTTAGATTCCAGAAAGTTGTTTCAGCGTTCCTCTTCCACCAGGCTTTTGGCTGCAGGTGACCAACCGGCTGCGGGCATCCATCGGTGTATTTGTTTGCCCCTTTGGGGGGCTGTCACATTATTTCATAGAGACTTTGTCTTTTACCTTCCACACATGGGTATGTGCCGCCCAGAGTCATGCGATTGGAGCAGTTCAGACACCTGGCACATAAACTGCCGGCAAATGAGCAACAGCAGGGGCTGCCAGGGCTGGCTTGTGCCCGGGAGAGGGGCACGTGAGGAACAGGCTCCGTGGGACGTTGGAGCCCAGCCAAAGAGGACGGGGGGAAGAGGGAACCTCTCTAGGGAATCTTTCAGTGGATGTCTTGCTTCTCCAATCTGTTTGTGGTCTTCCTCACTCTTTTTGAGTCCTGTGAAGGGAGACTGAAGGAGCTGGGTGGGTTTCGTCTTGAGGATAGACCCGGGCGGGGAGGGGGGAGATGACAGTGCCTTCAAATACTCCAAAATTGCTTACAGAGAAGGTCAAGTTGCTTCAGAGAGCAGGAGATGGAATAATTATTTGTGTCGTATTATTAAGGATACCTGTTGATTCCAAGAGGTTTAAGGGCTTGGGAGGCTATTTGGGGGGCGGCGGGCACTAGGTTTTATTATGTACCCCACCCAGAGTCAGGAAGGCAGATTCCCCCAACTGAACTTTAGAAAGAGCAACCAAGGACTCCGAGCGCTGCTGGGCTTTCATTGCTTGGGATGAAGCTCCTCACCTGAGCAGGTGGGTGGAGCCGATGGCCTCAAGGGCGTCTCCCAACTCAAGGACTCTGCAGGTGGCCAGCGAGGGTCAGTCCCTTCAGGCACTAAAATACTGCCAGGAAGCTGCGTTAAAAGCCAAAGACCCAAAGCCAGCAGAGACCCGGGCTTTTCAACCGGGCACCAGAACGCTGGAATCTGGGGAGCTATTTTGGGGGCGGTCTTTGGTCATCCTGCAGCGGCTGTAGCCCCTTGGCCCCTTCCCCCAGTCCT